TGAGGTATGCCCCACGTCATCAAATATTTTATATTTGCTTTATTTCTATAATTTTTGGTTTCTTTTTTTTCAATATTATTTTACCATTTTCATTAGTAAACCATTTTCAAAGAAAATATATTGAAAAAACACTAATCATAAAATATCATACAAATTTTGTATGACCACCACGTTTAGCCAATGAGAGTGCACCGTGTGATATCAGATGTAGCTAGATACATAGTTATTTGCTTAATTTACTCGATATTCTTAGGCTAAGTGAAAGTGGGGCTACCTGTTCATAGGTTCCTTTAGTACAACAGTCAAGTTTGATTTACTAGAATAAACTTTAGAAGGATATGTGTTTCCTTTCAAATTACATGAGATCTTGCAATTCCCCATGAATATCATAATATAAACTTTACATGTTCTCTTGATAAGCTGTACTTGATATATAAATACAGGTGAGCACAATTCCCGGTTACCTCATATCACAGTCAACATGGTGTGTGTGTGTGTGTGTGTTTAGGGCTTTGATTTTCTTCCATGATGCTGCAACATCATGTGTGTTTGTGTGTGTGAACACGCACACATACACATGTATGGTTCACTGGTTATGGATAATGAATATACTGTATATACCATTTTCATTAGTGAACCATTTTCAAAGAAAATACATTGAAAAACACTAATAAAATATCATTCAAATTGTTAGGGCCAAGAAAGGGGCGGAGCTAGTGACATCACCACATTTAGCCAATGAGAGTGCACCGTGTGATATCAGATGTAGCTAGATAAATACTTATTTGTATAATTTACTCGATATTCTTATACAGGCTAAATGAAAGTGGGGCTACCTATTCTTATTCCTTAAGTTCAACAGTGAAGTTAGATTTTCTAGAATAAACATTAAAAAGATATGTTACCCCTTAGCAAATTGCATATCTTGCAATTTTCCACAAATATATAAATTTTACATGCTCTATTGATAAGCTGTACTTTGTATATAAATGTAGGTGTGCACATTTCACATTTACCTCATAATCACACCTTCAATGTAAGGTTTCCACACACATAGTGTTTGTATGTGTGTGTTTAGGGCTTCAATTCATCTCCATGATGCTGGAACGCATTTAATCTGTATCATAATAATCTGCTGCCTTCTCCTCACTCATCTGGTGATGGAATAAAAGGCCATTTTGCAAAATGTTACTAACTGGCATTGACATGGAGCATTTATTTGGCATACATGTAAATGCCCTCACATATAAGTATAATGAGTTGTGAATATTGATTTGTGTATCAGTGTCAAAAATTATGTGTTATATAAGAGCATTGTAACTAGACAGGGGAGACTCAACTCTAAAGTGATATTTGATGTTATATAGTGAACAGAAAATGCTTACAGATAGTGACATAGCCATGGCCAGTTGCAGTTCTTCTTCCTCCTCCAACCAGAAGCATGTTTTCCTCTCTCCTTCAGCCTCCTCCTTCTCAAGGCGGAGCTTTTTCCCATCAAGACCTTCAAGTTCCTCATGGCAGTAAGCTTCCTCCTTCCCCGGACGCCCCTCTGCCTCCTCCTGCCAGCCGCCCTCCGCTCCGGGGACGTCGCCGGCCCCAGCGGGCTCTCGCGCGAGTAAGCGGCGACCTGACGCCTGTACTCCTTGTTCTCGGCCTCCTGTGCGGACATGTGGAGGGCGAGGGAGAGCAGGTCGTCGTCGTCCATGCGGAGACCCTTCTTGAGGTCGTCTTCGTCGTCTTCGTCGTCCCTGATCTCCTGGGAAGGACCTCTTTCCATTAGCCAAGGTTAATTTCACATGCACTAACCAACCCACGCACATGAGCACACACACGAACACACATACACACACGCGCACGCACACACACATACAACGCACACACGCACAAACACACAATACATACACGCACAAATCATACATTAAAAAAGAAGAAAATCACGTACCGCTTCGAGCAGGTCGAGCAGCGCGAAGTTAGGCTTCAGCGTCCAGAACTGGTCGCGGTCCTGCCGGCAAGAAGGGCACCGGAACACACTCTTGCGGTTCTCCGTCCCTTGAAGGAAAGATTTTTTATTGACTCCAGCAATTTATCTTTTCCTTCATGGGTTCATTTATTCATTGATTAAAAAAAATCTATCTATTCATTCTATTTATTCATCTATATCTATTTATTTACTATTTACTATTTCTTAGATATCTTAATTTATTCTATCTACGTATTTATCTATTTATCTATTTACTCATCAATCCATTTAATCATTCATTTAATCATTATTCACACACATACATAATGTATATAGTATACCCTGTTACTTACTCGTTGTATTTCTCTGATTAACATAATTATTGCAAAAATAAAGCAAAAAAACGAGGCACCAAGACATTGAAAACAAAGCCATAACACCAAAAAAAAAGGAACACACCAGTACAGAGACCACACTTCAAGACAAACAGATTTCACAGAAAGACAAACAACAGAAACCTTACTAAGGCATTCCTCGCAGAAGGTGTGGCCGCAGCTGGAGAAGATAAGCGGACGACGATCGTGCGCGTTGTAGGTCGACCTGCAGACTGCACAGGTTAGCCCTGAGGGAGCCTGCAAAACACGGTGTCCTGTATATTAGCCCACAGTTTCTGCCTGGCCCCATTTCGCTCTATTAACTTTCTCTTTCTATGCTTCACATACTTCATGTAATAATATTACATATACATATACATGTAAATATATGTGTCAGCTGTCTACACACACACACACACACACACACACACACATATATATATATATATATATATATATATATATATATATATATATATATATATATAAGATACTTCACAGAAAGTGGTTGTGAACGATGTCATTGTCGGTATCCTTTCGACGACCTGATAACTTGCTGCGCAATAAGTTATGGCCCTGCAATACATCCCCACGAGCGGCTGGACCATCGATTATTATCAAGGGGCGGGGGGGGGGGGAGGTGCCCAAGAACGTGGCGTCACCAAGCAAACGTCGCAACTGAACCGGCTGGGATAATGTGTATAATAATCTATAGCGCTGCCAGTCTGGAAACATGACGCGGTTCGCCTATTAACGCGGTAGACTGGCTGGGGCCACAGGCAGGTCAATCTGCCAGGGGGAACTGCAGCCGAAAGGAGTCTCCGCAAGACGAGGCCTCTGGGGGTGATCTTCGTGCGTTCCCAAAAGGTGGGAAGCTACGGACGTGCCCGACCTCGGCTCATCCTCAATGCGACCGCGCCGTATTAAGGATGAGCCCAAAGGGGCGAGGCCCTTGAGGCGGAGTCGACGATCGTTGATGGCCCTTGCCTCTGTCGGGTGGAGCTCGCATGCAGTTATCAGAGCGCCTTAAGTCGCCTCATATTTCGTCTGATTTTGTGCGTTTCAGGCGAGGGTCTTTAATACATGCCGTGAACTGGCAGATTCCATTAATAAAAGGACATTTATGCTGGCTAAAGACGAGAGAGTGGTTGATGGCTTTCAGCCATTACTATACAAAGGAGGGACATACTATCGACTTTAGATGTCATGAGCTTGTGAAAAGCATTTCCCATATGGCTCGATGCAGGACAAGGTCAAAATGGTCTTAAAAGTCTCTTTTATAGGATTATTATGCCAATAATGAAGGCGCTTCGGACTGAAGGTGAGGCAGGCAGGCGACAGGCGGTTGGATTAGTAACTAACACTTTTTTGCTGTTTCGCGGTAAGAAGTCCGGGACATTATCTTATCTGCGCCATTGAATGAACTGGTCGTGAAGGGTTGTAAAACTGATTGTCATGGCATTACTGAATTCTAAGGATTTCGGTTTTCTACCGCTTTTATTTTAAATATCTGATTTTTTAAAATGAATAGCAATTTGAAGATCACAACTTTTTATTAATACATAAAAGAAAAGAAACACATGCGTATATGCCTTCGATGGCTCAGGACGCAGTTATTGTGGTCTCTTCTCTTCAGAAGCACTGAAAAATAATTTTTGTTTATCTTCCTATTATGAGAAAATCAAAAGGTGAAACGGTTTGATAAGCGTACTTTTCAAGTAGCTAATGCCGACGAAAAAGATTAAACGAGGTAGTTGCATATATTTCGTGTTTTTTCTCTCATTAGCCATCTACACTGATCTGATTTCCTATTTTCCAGTGAAAAAAAACATCTACACACAACGATTTGGTCCAATAGCCTAAACTACGTTTCGTTGATACCTTTTACCTACAAGATGCAAACCATATAGTATTCCTGTAAATGTTTTTTAAATCAACATTACCTGGTTTTCAGAGCTGTTCTCATAATGCTGATCTGACGAATGAAAATTTTCCTGGAAAAAAGAAAATTGCTATTAACATGCATGTATTGTACATACAGTACCTGCTTGATTCTTTAATTGTTTTTGTTTTCTATATATACCGTATACCTATATACCAGCACAAAGAAAAAGACAAGAGGAAGGAATTAGACGAACAAAACAAACACAAAACGCCGCCTTGCCTCGTGCACACGCGCGCCTGAGTCCTGGCGGAGGCCTCCTTGACCCAAGACGTCGCGAATGCTCTCTCGCAGGTCTCGCGAAGTCCCTGACGGCAGGCTATCTAGCGCTGTCAGCAGTCTTATCAGCAGCTCGAGGGTTTTGTTCAATTTTTCTTGGCTCTGCAAAACAACGAAGGTATATATAGCGACTGAGGATGAATTCGCAGCTATTATTTAAAGAAAAATTGAAAGGAAAATGGTCTGCAGCACAAGGTAGTGAAGGAGGAAGGGGAAGAGGAGTTAACGGAGGCTGAGGAGGAAGAGGAGGAGGAGGAGGAGGAGGAAGAAGAAGAAGAAGAAGAAGAAGAAGAAGAAGAAGAAGAAGAAGAAGAAGAAGAAGAAGAAGAAGAAGAAGAAGAAGAAGAAGAAGAAGGAGGGAGAAGAGGAGCTGGAAAAGAAGACAACGAAAACGAAGAAAACAAAAGAAGGAGGAGGAGGCGAGAGAACAAAATACAAATATACGTAAATAGAAAATCGAGAAAAGTATGTTCCTTTTACCGATGTCCCCAAGAACAGATTTACCAAACAACAGCGTAACTCTCTTATTTGACAATCATTAATACAAATTATTATTGCTCAC